ATCGCCAATTTTATATTATATTGTTATTTGTTACAGGCGTGAATCGCCAACTTTATTATTATTTGTTGTAACATATTGTGATATTGTGTATTATTTATTTTATTATATTGCTTATAAAGGTAGGTAGCAGCTGGCCAGCGGTGCTCCGTCATAATTGTGAGTTTTATTTTAAATACATATTTATTATTATATTACAGCTCAAATAGCTAATTATTATCATATTATTTAGCCATATTTATATAATTCTTAGCGGCTCAAATAGCATGTTATAAAATATTATTATATTGTTTTTGCCTATTGGCCATAGTATTGTTTATTGTGTATTATTTTAAAACATATTATTATATCATATTATCTATTATTACCAAATTGAGTTACCGTTTTTTACCAGCAACCGTGTTAGCCATTATTAATTAGAGTTACCTATTTTCCATAGTTATAACTATAAGCATCTACACCTCACATATACACACCTACACACACCACCTGCACACTAGTACTCACAGGTCTTGCTCGGCGAACCTGTCCAATTCCTGTTGAGTACCAAAACAAATACACACACAAGGTGCACAATCTGGTCGGTGTGCGACAGGCATTATACGATATATTTATATACGTATTAATAATTCGTAGCGAAAAAATTAAGGTAACCGGGCTCACGTTTTATTATTAACCGTTCCCCGGCCTAATCAACTAGCGTAACATTTTAAAATGTAAATAACATTAATATTGATATTACGCAATGTTAGTTTGTAATATTAGGCCGTACTTAAATATTATGTTATGTGTGTCCCGATATTATTTCGGGTTAAATTTAATTAAAACCTTAATCGTTGTGTTCTGGAATACATCACCAGATCCGTAGAACTATTGTGTACTTGTGGAAGCAATCAGTAATTCCAAGTATTCGTGACTTGATTCAATGAATTATTTTATATTTTCAAATATCAAAAATTGTATAGTGTCGCCGTGTCGGATACCACGTTACAAGAACGTTCTGAGCTCTGAGAATCCGCGCGGCGAGCACAACATTGAGTTTCATTTAGTTGTATTTTAAAATACAACATTATATTTCTTATTACAGTAGAGTCTCGCTAATCCGGACAATCTTTATTTCATACTTCAGTACTCGTGTATAATGTATATATTCGGGAATATCGATGATTAAGATTTAAGATATTATCGTAATAATAATAAATAATAATAATGTAAAATTGTGAATCAATACATTTTGAATTTGTATAAACACATAAGGTGTTTTTTGTTTGTATTTATTAGTAAGTTAAAAAAAAATCTATTTAATCCGGATAGAGTCCGGTCCTATCTAGTCCGGATTAGCGAGACACTACAACTGTAATTACATTTTGTATCTTTTCCCATTTTTAAAATTATTATTTCCACCAAAAACTCAGTAAAAAAACAATAATTAAACGCATATTTATTGCAAATGTTGATAGTTTTTAATGCATAAGCTTCCGGGGCCTACTCATATGGATTTAAGGTGAATGCATCATTAATTTAATATTTTTTTTAATAATAGCTAGTTAATAATAAATTGTTTGTAATAAATAATAATTAATAATCCATGTTCAGTCTTCTACTGCTTGACTAAAATGTTATTGTTATATAAGCCGTAAAGAATAAATTCCGAACTGTGCGTACTGACACTTCGGTGGCGGCTCGTGTATAATATGTGCACACGTGCACTACCTACCCGGCTCGAGAAAAATTAAAAAACATAAAACACAATAATACAACATTTATTTACTCACCTCTAGTGTTATTGAGATTATGTTTCAAAATATAATAATATGAATATAGAAATTCAGAATACGAAAATAATTGGATTGGATTATTTTGAAGGCTCAAACGGCAGGTCCACGACAGAACGGTATCGGTATTTATAGTAGTGCAGTAGTGCATACAATCGCTTTTTTTTGTTTATTGTTTGCAATCGTGTCGAATATTACATTGTAATGCGGGCAGCAGCCAGCAGGTAATAATTAATATTTGATGTTTAAGTAATATACTATTATATAAATCATATTTTTATGCACATAATATAATGATGACGTGTCACATTCTACCTTCTTTCATGTCTACAGATTTGGCTATGCATTGCTTATACACAATGCAGGCCGCAGGGCCGGCTCGAGAATTTGCTGGGCCTGCTGCAAAATATTTTTTTCATAAGAAAGGGTACAGTTCCTAGAGGCTTGTATGAAAAATAAGTACCTACATAAAATGACTATTAATTGACACATTGATCCTTTAATAGTAGGGCACCTTTCAACATAACTTTAAATTTTAAATAAAATTATTAAAATAAATGGTCTCTGGTTTCATAAATGTGTTACTCGTATTGGATTATGTAATGGTTTTTACTAGGGCGCAAATTTCCATGCAGATACATACTTTTTTCCTTTTCACATTTTTGGATTTTTGTCAATAATCTATTTACGAATCATAATAGCATGAAGATACTGTAGTAAATTTTTTTTCTGCACACTCAATGGTTATTGCATATTTTTGTATATTTTTACAAGTTATTTATAACTTTTTACAAAGTTGTTCAGAAAATTCCTTAAATTTCTAGTATTTAAGTAATTAATTGTTATAAGTTGTTTAATTTGTAAATTTTGGATAAATAAAAAAAAAATCTTGCATATTTTTTGCATATGTATTTTAATGATTTGTACATTGTACATGTACCTACTGCTTATTATATGGCATATTTCGATACTTTTTAGTGCATAAAAATCAGCGCTTTAGTTTTTAATTACAAATTATTAGAAAGTTTTCAAACCAACCGTGGGTACCTACTTCGATGTTATTTAGCGCGTCACATCTAATACGTTTAGATTAGCTACACAAGTAGAATACATGAGATCTACCGTGTAACAACTAACAAGCAATAATAAATCGAAACCAAATTAATGTTTAATGATTAGTGACCATTAACAATATAATTTATTATAGCACATTAAAACATTATACATATTGTACATTTAAATTGAATACGGAAAAACAAATGTTTAAAATTTTAAATATTTTATTTTCTATTTGATAATGGTGCGGTTCAAAAGGGAAAGTTAATAGTCTTAATAATTGTATTACTTGGAGCTATTATAAGCAATTTAAATACTTTATATTTTAGATTGAGAGTGAGGAATATATATTATAATCATAGAATGGTTACTTTTTTAGTTATTTGGTACTTATAACATAAACATAAATACATAATATTTATGTGCATATAAAGAAGTAACTTCACGATCAATGATCACATTTATGGATGGACTACTCCACAAATATTTGACATCAAGTTATTAGTTTATACATTAAACAAATTATTATAGATTAAAATAATTTAATCAAATGATTAGCAAAACCATGGATTTTATAATATACAGATAAACCACCTTATTGTTAATATTGGAAGCGTCCAATCGCATTCAACTACATATTATAAAATCAACGTCCAATGTACTTTTAAAATATTAAGCTTACAAAACCATTTAACCTATCTTAACTACATTTATTTACGATTAATACTCAAGGCGATTTAATAAACATGCTGAATATTTAGGTAAATAATATACATTTACAATTTACAAAATACACTATAAAATCTGTTTGAAAGTGAAGACGATTTTAAAAGTATGATGTGTAGGCATATAGTTCTTCATCACTCATTGCCCATTGGCAAACTATAGTAATTTACATATTATTTATTTTTAAAAAATGGGAGTTTAATAGAAATGTATTTATTTGAGGAATTAACATATAAATGTTCACAGAATTTATCCATATTTACCAGCAGTTTCAAGTAGCTGTTTAAATGGATCTGTTAGAGTTAAATATATTATCACTACTAACTCATTTAAAATAAATGGTACATAAATTGTTGCATTTCAGTACCAAGTGAAATATACAGTAAATTATTAATTATTATCAAACACATATCTTCACCATGTATGTGCCCACTACCTTTTTCCCTTTAATTATGTATTTACTCATATTCTGGTATATGATATTTTTCAGCATTCTTAAAAAACCATATTTTTAAGTACTTTAGAATTTTAGTGAAATTAAAAGAGTGTCCTGACTTCTTTCTCAATTGAGAACTCAAGTTGATGCAACTAAATGAACATTTGTGTAAGTAGAATTAACATTATTTGACATTATGCAGCTACGAAGGATAATAATAGCCTAAATTAAAAGATTTTACAAATGTGGAGCATTAATAATTTAAAAGTTATAATAATTAGGTATTAGGTAATATTTATATATAAATAAAATTTATTAACATTCTATCATTATAAAAACTATCTGCTCATCATAAGAAATAAACTAAATATTACAAAATAACATTTAGTAATTCTACTACAAAATTGTACAGCAATCTCTCCTTTACCCATGACACTATTATAACCAGGGATCAGAATTCAAATACTGGGCTAATATTAGCATGAAATTATCTAAAAAATTAACAATATATCTTATTAAATTAAAACAATTTAGTGAAGTTTTATTTTTGGTATAAAAAAATTCCACGTAATTTCTCTATCATAATTAAAATTATTTAGTACCTATTTTCTCCTTTTTTCTCAACTCACTTTTCATGCACCAGAACAAAAGATGATAGACTATTGTAAATTATTTAATATTTAATAAACAGTAGTTCATTAAAATGATGTTTACGGTATTGCTGTTTGTATTCAAATAACCAACTAACCCATGCACAAATTGCACATAATTGTATGGTACATAAATACATAATGTATTACAAATAATATTTTTCCAGCTAAAAAAATGGCAGGTGTCTTATCAGTGTGACCGATTCAGACCAAAGACTTTCTGTTCACAAGTACTAATAAGCACATTTTATCATAGGACTATAATACTATATTTTTATTGATATTATACATTTTAATGTAATATTAAAAGAAAAAAATTAATTCATACACATAAATATTGGTTAAAGTAAATAAAAATGTTATGTAAAAAAGTTAATATACATAGATTTATAAAAAAATTATTTTAGGTTACAGGTCACAATATCATTATTCACTAGAATTAACATAGGTATACTGATATTTATTTAGCAATATCCCCTGGGTTATACAGTCAAAAATCCATTTTTCATGAGTATTATGTCTGAATTGTATTGTAGCGCCAATCACTATATCTGCTTTAGATTCCTCACTTGTGCAATGGCCACCACAAGCATGCACCAACTGTCTCAAGAGTTCGGCTGGTGATTCACAGCTATTAGATACATATATCTGACCAGCTTTATCAAATATATTAAATTTCAATTTAGAACCAGATACTCTATGCCGTCGTATTTGAAAATCCTTAAAAAAAAAAAAAAATTTTGTAAATATTTATTCAAACATTCATAAATAAATAAAATAAAAGTGAATCAAGCATTTTTACTTTGACAGGTTCAGACAATTCAGGAATCATGTATTTTTGATGAGATAGCCATCTTCCAATTGCGTATGATTTGAGTACCTTAATAATAAAATAATATTATATTTTTTCAGTTATGTTATACACAAAATTATAAAAATGTAATAGGTCAAATATATTTTGAATTAAATAAATAAAACTGTAGTGTTATAAATGGCAAGTTATTAAATTAGTCTTTGTAAGCGTCTTACCCAATCTTCAGAAACAATGTAACAGCCATAAGCCATCGCAAATACAATATCTAATGATTGATTAGATACTGATTTGGTAATTAAATAAGTAGTAGTACGTTTCACTTTGGTGTGAAAAATAAATTTTCCCAATTTTTCAATGCATGTCTTTAGAATGTTCACTTCACTGTTCCAACAAAAAATGATATTTCAAATTATTGTTTTAAAAAAAAATATTTTTATTTTAATTTTACCTTTTTATTATCCCTGTACAGGCGATTGACTGTACCCTAAAGTCATCATCTAAAAATACTTCTGGTTCCCGGATAGTCATTGAATTTATGGACATTGTTCTAGAATCATTGTCTTTGGTTTGAGTTGACAAATCACTGATTTCATCAATATTATTTAAATCCTTATCAGAAGGAAATAATAGCATACGAAATCTTTTCTTGGCTTGAAAATTAAAATTAAATCGATATTCAATTTTAGCTATTTGACCATAAACATCTTTCGGTATTGTATTCACTATTACATCAGGTGTGAGATGGTTTCTTAATATTTTAATTGGTATTGGTACATTTAATTCATCAATTTGATCATCTGGTACAGGACTAACAACTTTTTTTAATTCTTTGCAAAGCTGATCTGATAATATATTCTCAATATCATTCGGTTTGTAAAGATCATCCTTAAAATGAAAAATTAATATAAAAACAAGTTTAACATATACAAAGTTTTTAGAATAATACATAATATTGGGTTAGGTTTTACTATTCTAGTATTAGGAAACAACAATGTAAGTCATAACAAATAAACAAAACAATTTGTTAGTGAAGTGTTATAGCTGTAATTCATTTTTTAATTTTGGAAACATAAAACAAATTGAATATTATTATATGCCATCTTTCATGGCTTTGGAAAAATATCGCCTAACTAGGAATTTAAATAAAATATATTGGTGGGGTCGTATTGATGTTCATTTAAGAATAAGTCTATAAAAAGTGTTATAAATGAATTTTTAAAAGGTTCATATTGTATTTGTCCAAAAAAAAAATTTAATTTTTAAAGCTAATGCTATTTAGTAAGTAATAGTTGTATACGACTTTAACTACTAATCTAATGGTGGCATGTCTATAATCCGAGGGTTTTCGGATTCAACCTCCACCCTAGAAATGCTAACCTTTATTTATGCAAGTACACTATTACCAATATATTATTATTCTTACAAATTGTTTGTATTTAATAACACTTGTCGCATATTGCCTGCAACTCATCATTTAAGTATTTAATATTGTGTCATTGATTAATATAATATTATGTACCTATTTGTT